TTGCTCTGTTTTCATTTTCTCTCTTTTCTGCCGATTATTCATGAGAAATCGATGGTACATGGTAGTATGTATATACGAAGTATATGGGTGATGAAGCTGCACTGGTTCTTTTTCTGCAGGTAGTATTAGTGCGCAGGTTTCCGATCCTTCATCACGGTTAGGTGACTAATTGAGAATAACTTGGGTATGCTAATTATTTAGTGACTGTGAATAGAAATTTGGAGGCTGTAAATAGAATTAGAAAGAAGAAGAAGAAAAGCATGAGAGTTCATATGATAGAGAGAGGAAGAAAAGGGTGAAAATATTGGACCCGGCCTTTTATAGAATGTACACTAAGGTGTACACCCCAACATTTTTGAATATATACAGATCACAGATGTTATTAACAGAGGGCATTCCTCAATCAAATTCGACCAAAAAGACACTTTTGCTCAAGAACAACTGCAACTTAGCAAAAAACAACTGCTTAATGTGACAAACTTATCCATCTTTTTGAGTTATTTGGTTGGTTGTGCTTATTTAATTTAAAAGTAAATTGGTCAAAGTGAGAGTATCAAGTTTTAAGTATTTTGAAAGTATGATTTTTTTTTCTGATTTTGTTTTGTTTTCTTCATTTTAGAATAGTATGTAATCTATTTAACGAAGTATCATTTGTTGGGACACATTTGCTCTTTGTGATCATATATAGCAATCACCCTGTTCCCAAAAAAATTAAAATCCTTGTTTGTTAGTATATTTTCTTTCTTTATTCTAACACTAAAAAGTAAGTAATCGAAAAAATATATATATAGATATATAAAGCCATTTATCCTCAATGTGATGTTGTGTTTCTAGTCATTTTTATAACTTTAAGGATATTATTCGATTGAGTTTTCGGTATAATTGTATCTCAGTTATATATCGATTAATTTCAAGTATGTATTGATACCAAAATACTTTGGTTCATCACGATGCTATATCGAAAAGTAGGATATACCGAAATTTTGATATTTTTCTCTGCCCCTATTTGTCTTTATATATTATTTTGGGAAAAAGGTCAAATAAACCCATGTATTATTGTGAAAGTATCTTCTAAGCTCCTTTACTTAAAAAAAGTATCACATGAGTACATTTACTATTAAAAAACAATCAACCATGTCCAACCACCTGGAAGCAACCTGCTATAACAAGTTAGAGTAAGTTTTGACCTTTTTTTTCATTTTCCATTTTCTTCTTTTCTTGCTCTGGCCATGATCCGATTCTTTCGATATTCTCGCTGCAGCCATTTGTTGGCTTACCTTTTTTCTTCTTATCTACCCCAGTGTACTCCATTGTCCATATCGTTCCATTGTTTTTTTTGTTGTTTGTTCTTTTTCCCCTTTTTTCCTTTTATATTTGTTGTCTTTCTCTTTAAAAAATATTTTTGGCGTTTTTCTAATTATGTCAATAAAATATCATCATTGGCTCATAAATAATCTCATTCTTGAAAAGTAAAGATATGATTTAGAGCCCGTTTAGTAACACTGTTTTTAACTTATCAGACTTATCAGTCAACTTTTTCCCTAAACACGTAACTTTTGGAGTTACTGTAGATGACCTTTTTAACTATTTTTACATATAATGCTTTATTTATTTTATTAATAAAATATACTTCAAAAATAATTTTCTTTTTAAATCAGCAGAATCAGTCAATGCAGTCATTTCATCCAAAACTTCATAAATTTCAGCAGAATCAGCTAAATCAACCGATTTTCCGGTTGCCAAATAGGCTCTTATTATTAAAGTTTTTTTTTTTGAGAAAAATCAGACTTTAAATCTTTCAGTTACTATCCCATGTTTTTTGGAGGTATTATCCATGCTATTTATATAACATTGACATTTTTAATATTGTAACTTTAGAAATAGTAAAAAAAAATATACACTTCCATACAAATTTTCAAATCTTCCACACCGACATTTTTTGTATCTAAAGTTATACCGTAGATAAAATCTTACTCCGTAATTAAAATCATTAAGACATTAAATGTCTGGCATAACCAAAAAAAAATTCAAACACGACAAAAAAATTATACACTTTTTGTGACATCCATTTACTGTTTTCATCATGGATTTTTTAGAGTGAGAGGCCGTCTGGTAACAATATTTTTCGGCTTATGAGGTTTATCAGTCAACTTCTTTACCATACACGTAACTTTTATTTTCGTGCACGGAATTGTGTAATAATAAGAAAAGATAAAGTCAATGTTACTTTTTTTGCTGTCTTGGCTGAAGTTACAATAGATGACCAATTTAGCTATTTTACATATATATTTTTTTCATAATTTTATTAATAAATTATATTTTAAATGTAACATTTTCTTCTTAAATCAACAGAATCAGCCAATGCAGTCACTTCAGCCATAATATCATAAATTTCAGCAGAATCAACCGAGTCAGCCGAGTCAGCCGATTTTCGTGTTACCAAACGACTTTGATTGTTTTTTTCTTGTTCCCTAACTCATCTAACAGAAGTTGTCGGCACGTACAAAAGATTCTGAAAATGTGTACAAAAAAATTACATTTTTACCGACTTAAACATCTAAGTCTGTTTTGGACATTATTGTCTGTAAGCATGAACTCCTTCGATATTTTTTGTCTGTGACATAATTTTACAAAAAAGTTATTCTGTAAGAAGATTTATGAAAGTTGGTTCACAATTTTCTGGCCATGTCTGAAACTTTTTTCCCAGTATTAGACATTTGTTGCCTTTTTTTTATAAAAGACATTTGTTCTCTTTAAAATTGGATTTTTCCGATCGACTTTTTCGATTGCCTCACTTTATAGAAAAATTGACAATGAAGAATTTTGAAAATGGGTACAAAAATTATACAATTGAACTTTTGGAGTGACACATGATGCAACAGAAAGAGAAGTAACGAATGTTTTTGATTGAACTAAAAAATCTTGATGATGTGATTTGGTCTATGTAAGTCTTGACCAATATGTTAAAGTCGTGTCCGAGTGACTGGGTCTGATATAGTAAACATTTGGTGAATGTGTATTTTGTTATTATCTAAATATAACATGATCTTGTTAAATCTGATCTAATCTGATATGATATGTTTAAGTTGGGCGTGGACTCGTATGAGACTGGATATTGTAAATTAAAAATAACCTAAGGAGGAAGGAAGAAAAAAAAGTAAAAAGGAAAAAGAAAAAATGCAAAGAAAAAAGAAAAATGAAATGTGGAACGAAGAGAACAATGAAGACAGAAAAATTAGGAGAAAGCAAAGTTGAAATAGAGAATACGATAACGAAAAACAATGAGAAAATGAGCTTGAAGCCTTTGGGGTACATGGGAGTAAACAACGGCCTGGAAAAGGTTGAAGAAAAAACAAGAAGGAAAAAGAAAATGGAAAAGAAAAATGTGGATGACTTGTTATAGACTTACAGCAGGTTGCTATTAGGTCACTTGACCATATTGATGTTTTTTTGAAAGTAGGTATACTGAAGTGATTCTTTTTTTTAGTAGAAGGGCTTAGGTGATGGTTTCGTAATAGTACAGAGGCTTATTTGACCCTTTTTTCTATTATTTCCATTTGCAATGTCTTCCAAGGTTACATAATCTATCAAGGACCCTTCTTTAGCTTGTTTCCTTTATACTACACTACAAAAAACAATGATATTGACACGAATTTGATACATATTGATCGAGTTTGGTACGGATCATAATATATTTTTGGCATGACACCGTGCCAAATAGCCGGTGTCAAAAAGACATTGTCACAACATTTGACACGAATTTGACGTATTCGTGTTAAATCTGTGCCAAAACCCTATGAATTTTCACAAATCTTTATCAAATCTGTGACAATATCATTTTTTTGTAGTACTACTTATCATATCATTTTGTATTTTTGGCATAGCAACACACTTTTTCTTCTCCATATATAGGGTGGGAAAGGACTAAAAAGCTCGGAGAGCGGCCATTATAAAGTATAAAGTTATAAACCAAAAAGCTCGGAGAGCGGCCATTATAAAGTATAAACCCCCGTCCAAGTTTGAGCTAAAATCGAGTAGCAAGAAGAGTTCTTAAATCTACTTTGATTGGTGTTCAGAAGTTTGGGAGGCTGAGAGAAGCCTAGAGAGAAACTATGAAACTTGCCATTTATGTTGTGTTAGAAATATGTATTCCACATGAAGGTGGTGTAAAAGATAATGTGTCAAAGGCACAAACCATCAGTCATTTACTTTATAAAGCAAAAAATAAATATTACTATAGCTAAGAACTCATTTTGTCAACATGAAATAGTGGTATTTAGTGTTTGTGCAACCTAACTCGAGATGAGGCCGGCCCTCACATTTTATAAGTCCCGGACAGTTTGAAAAATAAGCCTTTAAAATACTTAGTACGAACTACGAAGTAGTATCTTTTTTTATTAATTTCAATCAGAATGTAATTTATACGTAGTAGCTATTATATATTTAAATTTTGTAAAAGTGCTCATTTATATCAATTTTAATACGGAGTACTAATCTTATCAGAATTACCAATAGTTTTGGTAAAGTATCATTGTGTTGAAAAATCTCGGTGTGGAAAAGACTAAAATTAGACAAGTTTGTAACTCTTTGATTTGTTTTCCTTAAACAAAATTATATATATGTAATTATGTATGCATACATATATAATTAATTAAATATATTATGAGCCCATGTGAAGAGAAGGCCCTGGGCACAGATCCGGAGCCTCTACTTTGCTTTAGAGCAAGGCCCGGTATCCGACTTTGGAGAATCATCCGATCAAAACTTCAACACTCAGAGATCTTGAGGTTCACATCTTGAGACATCATTTTTTCCATCCAATGGTCCTTCTGACGCAAGGCACTCTGCTGCATGACAGAGAATCTCAATCCATTGAGCACTTGCTCCTCTGGTTTGAGTTAACTAATTAAGATTAGTTTGATTCAAACTCGACAGAGCTCTATTCCACTAGGTCAAAATTCACTTGACTCAAAATTTGGTCTATTTATAGCTTGGCAGTAGGTCAATAACACGAATTTGAATACATCTTCTCAGTTATTAATATAAAAACTATACTCGATTAGGCCCATGAGCAGCTAGCTCAATTAACACACCCAAATTCTGGTACAATTTTCATCCTAGTAGCTTGAGTTCTAATACGGATTGAGAATGCTAGTAATATACAATTTGTAACCAGCGGTATATTTCATAAGTTAGTAAATATAAAAGATATAGCCAATGCCCATTGCCCACAGCCCTCAACAAAATCTCTAAGACATCACACTCTTACAATGCACCAGTATGATATATCTATCTTCAACAAGGGGTTGAAGAAAAAAACGAGAAACAACTTCTTCACCCCACCCTAAAAAAGTTTTGTGATCTTAAGGCAATATTGATCAAGTCCATTTTCCTTTTTACATCAAGGAAACAAGACCATGGATATGTCATCCAGCCTCTTGTTGCTTAACTGAATCTTTGGAATCCTTGACTGCCTTGGAGCATTTGGCTCTTCCATAGTACCAACGAAGCTTTCGAAGTCGATAGTCTTTCTTGGCGTGTTATACTCAAAATGCCATTTCTTTGCTATCAATGTCTGCCCCATTACAAAAAATGTCATTATCACCACCATTCAACCCGTCCACACAAAAATTTGACAAAACACAACATCATATCATATACCTTAAAACCCGAGCCGATAAGGCCAGGAAAGCAATGTAATAAAGGAAATGCAAAACGGTAACGCAAAACAGAAAACGCGAGAAACTGTGTTTTAAAAAGAAAATAGAATATGTCAATATGGAACATGTGTGAAATAAATTTTACGACATAATAAATATAATGACATACTACGTAATATAAATAATTTTGTGTGTTTATGTGTGTGTACATTTTTATATAGAAATAATATCTTCATGCTCATGTTGCTATAAAGAAAATAGATGCATAAAATAACAAGTTTCATGAACCAACATCAAATTCCATTGAAAGAACTAATAAAAAAGAAAAAAATGAAACTTGATCAAAGTTTCTATGACCTAATGAATTATGACAATGAACTCCCAATGCTTTGAAATTATGAAAACAGATCCGAAACGATATTTGAAGTTTCCGAGTTTCCGATATGTTTCAAATTGGCGAAACATGAGTTTAATGAAGTGTATGTGCTACTTTGTGAGAAAGTCTACCCCTATATTCAACAGAGCTTACCACTTGTCGAATAGCCTTGGATACATGAAACAGGCTGATCAAATCCTCATGATCAACACCAAATATGATCCTAATCTGCATGTTAGACAAGAAGCAGATCAAGAGAAAGCTCATGCATTTTCTTTATTATCAACCTCATTAAATGATGAAAAAGGCAATTCAATTGCTTAAAAGCTTATACTGCAGTTGTTGTGGACTGACCAGAATGTCTTCAGGCAAGGCTTCCAAAGGTGATGAAGATTTCTCTGGTAAAACCTTCCTGCAATGCTTCTTTATCTGTTTACTACAATTACAGTTAATTACATAATAATCAATCTCTAAACCACTACTTAACAACTCAATTCTCTTTCTCCCAAATGACTGCCTGCTGCTCCTCACTACCTCTAACCCCATCTCTACTTCACACTTCTTCCCCACAGAAGTGATCATTTTCATCACTTCCCAGCTTCTAAGTTCCCAAGAACCTCAATTGTATTCCAGGGTCTGATCTTTACACTCAACATATATCAAAACTAATCAGATTATTATCTGATATCTAGAAACCCATGAAAAATAAATCAATAAAAATCGAATCTTGGATTAATATATTGCAGAGTTTCTCTCATTCAGTGTCTCTAGTAAGCGAAAGCTTTCACTTAAGGGTGCGGATAGTTAATTGAGATCGATGAAACGGTTGTTCTCTGCAAGGAAACCATTAACTGCCTCCAAAGTCTCCTCCTTTTCTCCTCCCGAATTTCTCTTTATTTTTGTTTGGTAATTTTTTTTAGTTCAATAAGACTAGAGATTAGCTCCAATTTGTGGGTTACGGTTATATATGCAGTGCTGAATTAGCTCCAATCTTGTTTTATTGTTCGATTAGAGTATTTCCGCCCACTGATTTCTTTTTGTTTTATTTATTTATGTCGTATTGCATCAATTTTTAAGTACTTTTTTAGTTGCAACATTTCCTTTTCCTGCAATGCAGAACTTTAATCATTATTATATTTAATTTTGTATTTGTAAAAAAATAATTAAAAATCAGATTATGAAACATAATAATTAGGCGAATTCAAAACTATTTTTCAAAAATAATAATTCACTCGCAAAGTCGCAATAATAAATAAAATGTAATTAAGGTAGAGTGCATGAATAGTGAATAAATTCCTATGTTGCAACTAATGTGATATGGAGGATAGTATATCTTATCAAATCAATTTTTAAATAATTCAAAATTCAGGTCTGCAATTTAACAGTATTCTTTGAGTCATTAAAAAACAGTATTTAATTTTTATAGTTGCTTTTAATTATGTAAATTTAAATTATAAATATTAATATAAAAATAATTAAAAGTGAGTTAATTACTCTGTATATTACAATTTCAGCTAAACGAAATAATCCAAAACAAGACCAAAAAAGGGATGATGGTACTATACCGGTATACCTCAAATACCTCAAATATCATTAAAGGTTATATCTAATGGTTATTTACTTTAACCCAAACACTTCAAAACTCAATTATTTACATAGCCCCTGCTTCTGAAACATCACATTTAATTTTATCATTCATAAATAACCGAGTAAAATATAACATTATAAAATCTGAACAGTGCTTTGTTTGTCTAAAGTTGCATCTTTATGAATCAAACTGATTCGTCAATTGCAATAAACTTTCCGAAACTAGTAAATCTCACGAGTTATCGAAATCCGTTAATGTCTGCAATTGAACCAAACAATATTAAAATATTGAATCTAATTAGTGTAGAGATATACTCATATATTGTTGAGTCCCGTTTCGTGTACACGGGTTACACGCCGGTCAAATTGTCTGTGCACAAACAATTTTATCGGCGTTTTATTAAGAATCGATTTCCACACAGACAAAAATAAAAAGTTGTTTGTATCACAGACATGTTAGACGAGAATTTTCATAAAATGTCTATTATATAATAGAATAATATAAGGCATATTTGTTTCCTATTGTGTATTAAACTCTTTTAATATAAATAGACATGTCAGGGCTCCTATTGGAGTACCGTTTTCCCAAATTCTCACGTGTTATCAAGAGTCTAGGGCTAATAATTTTTTTCCGGCTATTCTCTCTCTCATTCGATCGCCGCCATGGAGTCCATCGATGGAAGCCTTCCACTTACGAATGTTTCCTCCTCCATGGAAACAATATCTACAGCAGCAATGACGATGCCAATTCCCTCTCTTGATTCTGCTTCTTCCATCCCTGCTTCCACTGCCGCATCAGTCATCACGCAGTCCTCTGGCGCCCTCTTTTCTTCCATGGCGCAGCCAGAATTTCATCCCTCAAATCCAGAGTTCTCTTCTCCATGGATGCCGTCGACCCCCTATACTTAATTCAGCCAATTCCCGCCGCAGTTTCCATGGTCGCAGCTCCCTCCTCCGGCCAGCTCGAGCACCCTGCCCAATTCCTCTTATTTTGGGACGACGTTTGCTGGGTCGTCGGGTGTTATTCGACCTACTCATGACAATCAGTTGCTTGGAACTTCTATGGCTACGTTGGCACAATCGGTTTCCCACGGAATTGCTAATGTGAGTCAAATTGTTACAATCAAATTGAAGGCGGTTGAAGATTATCTTACGTGGCGCACACAATTTGAATCTTTTCTCGTCTCCCAAGGGCTTTTTGGTGTTGTTGACGGCTCCATTCAGGTACCTCCTATGTATACAGTGAATTTTAATAATCAACAAATCGTTAATACAGAGTATTATCACTGGCTTCGAGTAGATCAAACCATCCGTTCCTGGTTGTTTGCTACTCTTTCTCGTGATGTATTAACTGATGTGCATGATATTAAACATTCATTTGGTATATGGGATCGTTTACAAAAACGCTTTATGTCGGCTAGTTTACCTCGAGCCATGGAACTTAAGCGTACCTTGAATGCCATTAGAAAGAAAGAAAACCAGTCCATGGAAACTTATCTGCTTGAAATTAAGAAAGTTGCTGATGCTTTAGCTACAAGTAATTCCCCTGTGAGTAACAAAGAATTGTTACAATGCACGTTATATGGACTGGGACCTGAGTATCAATCAATTGCGGGCACCATCTCTCTTTTTCCTGAAAATTTCCCCCCAGATATTCTCCACCCTAGATTGATGGAGGCCGAACAACTCATCCTTTTTCAGCGGCAACACGAGTCTTCTCAGCTCCAGCCGGCCTTTGGAGCTCAGGTTGGTAATGCTCAGCAAGTGCAGGTCGGCCAACCGCCTGCTCATGGTGCTTACCGCGGCAGAGGAGGCCGCGGCAGAGGCGGCCGCGGAAGAGGGGGCCGCGGCAGAGGTCGGTTTCCACCCAACCAGGCCTACGGGCAGCACACAGGACAGCCGCAAGGGTATGGTCAGCAGGCCCCACCGTATCACGGACAGCAGCCGGCACATCCGTTCTTGCCCGCAGGGGGTGCCTCTACTCTGAGACCTCAAAATGCTCCATCTGGTAAATCTGTTGTGTCCACTTTAAATATTAATGCTAAATCTACTTCTGGTTCTCATTATCATTATGCAGGTTTCTCATCAACTGAGGGTATTCTTGGTTCAGTCCCTTCCCCAGTTGTGTGTCAAATTTGTTTCTCTGCAGGTCATTCTGCTTTGCACTGTCCGTCCCGTTTTTCTGCTTCTTCTGCACCGGCCTTGGTTGCTCCCAGTGGGGAATCTAATGATGCTTTGTGGTATCCCGACTCCGGAGCTTCTGCTCATATGACATCGTCAGAAGGTATTTTGTCAAATAAATCTCCTTACTCTGGCACCATGTCTGTTAGTGTTGCAAATGGTATTAAACTTCCAATTGCTAATATTGGTGATATTTCATTAAATACTCCTACTCGCCCATTGTCATTAAAATCTGTGTTTCATGTGCCTCAAATTAAATTTAATTTAATTTCCATTCAAAAATTGTGTGCTGATAACAACTGTGTTGCAATTTTTGATAAAAACTCTTTTTTTGTTAAGGACAAAATTTCGGGGGCAGTTCTTCTTCAGGCGCGTCATAATGGCCATCTATACCCTGTCAGCCTCAGTCCTCCAGCACCTCTAGCTTTAGCTTCCGTTATTGTTTCTGGCCCTGTGTGGCACCGTAGATTAGGACATTGTGGTGATACTATTTTACGCCAATTGCGTAGTAGCAAACTTATTACTAGTTCTTCAAATTTTGAACATGATTGTGTCTCTTGCCGTTTGGGTAAATCCCAACGATTACCTTTTTCAGATGCTAGTCATAATTCTTCTTCACCACTACAATTAATTCATTCTGATGTTTGGCAATCGCCTGTGTTATCTAATTTAGGTTATAAATATTATGTGTGCTTTATTGACGATTTTTCTCGCTTTACATGGATTTATCCCTTGCATACCAAAAATGAGGTGTTTACTCAGTTTCGTTGTTTTAAAGTTTTAGTTGAAAATTTATTTAATGCTAAGATTAAAGTTTTTCAAAGTGATGGAGGGAGTGAGTTTGTTAATTTTAATATGCAACAATTTGTGTGAAAATTTAAAATGAGAAATTTGAAAATGTCTGTGATACAGACAAATTTTTTATTCTTGTTTGTGTGAAAATCAATTTTCTTCATAAAATGTCGGTCAAATTGTCTATACACAGATAATTCGATCGGCGAGTAACCCGGCATGTAAAAAGTGGCGTGTACAAAAAGAATTTTCCTATATTGTTAATAACTTAGAAACAAATTTCAAAGATCATCACATTTCAATAGATTTTCCATCATTTGCAATAGAGTCAAAGACTCACTATTTTTTAGCTTAGAAATGTGATGGAATAAAGCAAAATGGTTCATTAAACTGTATGCACTTCTTTGTTATGAAGTTGCGGTCAATCCATGTAACTTTCACACAATTTTCACTATGGGTCATCCAGAAACAGTCTCTCCGTGCTTTAGTACAAGAGTAAGACTGCTTACATCCACCCCCTCTTATCCCATCAAAGGTGCGAACCTTTGCGACACTGGGATAATGATGATGATGATCACATTTCAATAGAGTTGTATACTTGTATGCTAGCTTTTAACGTCGTATGCATGATTGATCTGTTAAACCTTTCTATTCATAAGTCAAAATTAGACTAGATTTACAAATAGATGGCATCTCATCCCTGAGAACTCCGGAACCAACCAGACAATTATCTAACAGGATGTGAGTTGATATGTGATCACACTTTCATGAAAAGAGAATAAAGTTTCTATGTCTCTGTCAAGATGTCTATATGAATAACATGACAATTCCACGAGTTTGTTTATTTTGTGTATTAAATAAACATTCTGAATACAATGTAATGAGTTTAAGGAATAAGGTAGCTATTAGTTAAGTTACAGAAAATGTTATCAATGAGTTATGTATCAATGTATGCTATTCAATAATGCTAAATACACGTAATAATAAAGGTCTTAATGCTACAGCTAGCATATTAACAAAGTGCTATATTAACACATGGGCTACTCCTATTAGGTTGACCTTTTAGGATGGAACCCCGGGTTTTAACAGCCTTAATGCACATATCGTACCATAAATCAGTGATTAAGTCAAACTCTGGTTGAATGAATCGGTATAACATGACCAATTACTAAGGTGGATATATTGGTTTGGTTTAATCGAACCAAATCGTAACAAACCAAACTAAACGGATCCTGAATTTGACCATATGCAATTTGGTTTGAACTTGGTAGTATTTCTTCCAAACCGTATTAAATCGAACCGAACCAAAATCGATTAAAACCGAACAAAACGGAACGGAACTAAAGAAATTCAAAACTTTCATACATATATGATTAAAAAATAATAAATC